AAAAAAAAAAAAAAAAAAAGATTGTTCTGTACTATGGTTATCAGGAAATGTCATATGTAAAAGAGTTTTTCCATGTCCCAAAGGTTACCTTTTTGTATATATATTTAGCTCCATGGTAGTTTTCTAGAGCTAAAATATGGGAAGTAAAATCTTTAAAACAATCGGCTGAGCGCAGTGGCTCACGCCTGTAATCCCAGCATTTTGGGAGGCTGAGGCGGGGAGATCACAAGGTCAGGAGTTCAAGATCAGACTGGCCAACATAGTGAAACCCTGTCTCTACTAAAAATACAAAAATTAGCCAGGTGTGGTGGTGCGCACCTGTAGTCCCAGCTACTCGGGAGACTGAGGCAGGAGAATTGCTTGAACTCGGGAGGCAGAGGTTGTGGTGAGCCAAGATTGCACCACTGCCCTCCAGCCTGGGCAACAGAGCAAGACTCCGTCTCAAAAAAAAAAAAAAAACGAAAAGAAAAAAATCAGCTGGGCGTGGTGGCTCAAGCTTGTAATCCCAGCACTTTGGGAGGCCGAGCAGGTGGATCACGAGGTCAGGGGTTTGAGACCAGCCGGGCCAACATGGTGAAACCCCGTCTCTACAAAAAATATAAAAATAGCCAGGTGTGGTAGTGTGTGCCTGTAATCCCAGCTACTCGGGAGGCTGAGGCAGGAGAATCACCTGAATCTGGGAAGCAGAGAGCCTAGACTGCACCATTGCACTCCAACCTGGGCGACAGAGCAAGACTCCGTCTCAAAAAAAAAAAATCAATTAATGATCAATTAATTAATGATTAAATAATAAAATAATTTATTTATAAAATAAAATAATCATTTAAATTAATATGGTGGTGGCTTCTGGGCAGAACTGAGGTTTAAAAAAGAATAATCTCTAAAGTGTCCTTCCGTTCTGTTGCTGTTATTGGCAATTATGTTTTATCAGATTTTAAATTTTTTCTCACATTTGCTTATTAGCACTGCACAGTACCTCTTGGAGAATAAAGAAATAACTATTGTGTTACCTGTTGAGCAAGTACCTCAACATTTGCAATGAAGTAAGAAAGTATGTTAGTCTTTGTTATCACAATTTCTGTATTTCTCCTGTCCCCCTGTCAGGTGCCAAAAACAGAAAGAAAGAAAAGAAGGAAAAAAGAAACGGATTTGGTAAGTTATAATCTGTTTTTTAAATTAAAAAAGTAATTTTCAGATCAGTTGTCTGAGGTATATCATACAATATTTATGTGGATATATTTATGAAATAAGTTTATCAGGTACCTAGGCAATAATCATATTTATACCTTTACAAAAATTTAGAATGATTAGATGTGACTGGACTTGTTATCAATGATAGCTGGCCAGGCGCGGTAGCTCAAGCTTGTAATCCCAGCACTTTGGGAGGCTGAGGCAGGTGAATCACCTGAGGTCAGGAGTTCGAGACCAGCCTGGCCAACATGGTGAAACCCCATCTCTACTAAAAATACAAAAAAAAATTAGCCAGGTGTGGTAGTGGGTGCCTGTAATCCCAGCTACTCGGGAGGCTGAGACAGGAGAATCACTTAAACCCGGGAGGCAGAGGTTGCAGTGAGCCGAGATTGTGCCACTGCACTCCAGCCTGGGTGACAGAGTGAGACTCTGTCTCAAAAAAAGAAAGAGAAAAAAAAGTACAAGAGCTAAACACTGTATAGAAAGCTGCTATTTGCATATGTTTTTAAAAATTTTAGTATCTGCAGTCACACACAGACATATACACACATATAAAATATCTGGGAGTATACTGATAGCAGTGATTATTTCTATGAAGAGGAACTAGACAGATTGGATACAGAGATAGGAAAAATACTTACTTTGCTTTGTGTTCCTTTTGGTCAGGGGTTTATATTATATCCATTCAGAATGAAGTAATTTTTAAATTGACATATTTTACATATTTTAGGGGTACATGTGAGTATTTGTTACATGAATAAAATGTATAATGATCAAGTCAGGGTATTTGGGTAACATATCACCTTGAGCATCATTTCTGTGTGTTGGGAACATTTCAAGTCCTCTCTTCTGCCTACAGAATAATTTTTAATGAAAATTTTAATGAAAACAACTTTAATGTTAGAGTTTAGTAGAGGAAAATAATGTTTGTGTGATTTATAATTAGAGGAGTATCTGTGAGAGAAGATGTTATTATCTGGGAATATTTGAGATAACATAGAATAAGGCCATATTATGAAACTAGGATGGATGAACCGTGAGTTGAGGTATTTTTTTTCCTTCCCCCCTTGGTTTTTTTTAAGTTAGTTGATTATTTACTTAATTTCTTAAGAAAAAAAATGACTGCCAATCTTCTTGTGCCAGTATGGTTTGATACAGGCGATGGTGTCAATCAGGATTAATGACATTCTTGGTCTAGTTCTGTTTTATCAGCATAATTTTTTAAAATTTTGAACTAAAGTTTTTTCAATTGAGAAAGTCACATAAACATAATTTAAAATTATATACATTATAAAGTAGACCTCTTCCCTAGCCCTTCTTCCCAGAGATACTGTTACCAGTTTTTTGGTGGTATTCCAGAAATACAGTGTCCCTATAAAATCATTTATATATAAATGATTATATATATTTTATACACATACATATTACACATATATTCCTCCTCTGTTTTCAGGATATTCTGAGTGGAATTATGTTGTTACTTTGTTTATAGTAGATTTATTTATTACTCATTTTAATTTCTTTAAATTTTTTATGCTACTGGGGTTTTTTGTCCTTAGATAAATTATTTACATAATTTTTTATTTTTTTTATTTTTTTTATTTTTTTACTTTTTTCCATACCTTTCTTGTTTCTTTCTTCTTTTTGAGACAGGATCTCACTCTTGTTACCTAAGCTGGAGTGCAGTGGTACGATGACGGCTCACTGAAGCCTCACAACCTAGCCAGGCTCAAGTGACCCTCCCACCTCAGTGTCCCAAGTAGTGCACCACCATGCCTAGCTAACTTTATTGTATTTTTTTGTAGAGATGGGGTTTCACCATGGTGCCCAGGCTGGTCTCAAACTCCTGGGCTCAAGCAGTCCACCTACCTCAACCTCCCAAAGTACTGGGTGGTGTGAGCCACCATACCTGTCAATTTATACCTTTTTTCCAGTACATTTTCTTTCTTTCTTTTTTTCTTTTTTTAAGACTAGGTCTTGCTCTGTTGCCCAACCTGAAGTGCAGCAGCGTGATGACATCTCACTGCAGCCTCAACCTCTTGGGCTCAAGCAGTCCTCCCATCTTAGCCTCCTGGGTGGCTGGGACCACACACACATCTATCATGCCTAGCTAAATGTTTTTTCATTTTTTGTAGAGATAGGGTCTCACCATGTTGCCCAGTCTGGTCTCAAATTCCTGGGCTCACGTGATTCTCGTGCCCCAGCCTCCCATAGTGCTGGGATTACAGGCTTGAGCCACCACACCTGGCCTAGTATGTTTATTATTTCATTTTTTTCCTACAAAAATATTTAATAATTCTTGAATTTATTTTAGTCTCAAGATCGAGTTATGGACCAAGGCACCAAGGGATCATGCTTTTTTTCTTTAATAGTATAATAGTATATCAGTTGTCTGCCCACTGTTTAATGATATATTTCTTTTTCACTGGTTTGAAATGCCATTTTTATAGTACAGTTGGTCCAGCACATCCATGGGTTCAACCAACAATGAATCCAAAATACTTAGAAAAAGAAATTCCACAAAGTTCCAAAAAGCAAACTTGAATTTGCTGTCCATTGAGTGAATCCACAGAAATGAAATGATGTATAGGCATTGTATTAGGCATTGTAAGTAATCTAGATATAAAGTATATGGAAGGATGTGCAGATATGTCTAAATAATATGCAAATACTATGCCATTTTATATAAGGGACTTCAGCATCTACAGTTTGGTATCTGCAGGGGGTTGCTGGAACTAATTCCCCACAGCTTCTGAGAGACAACTGTATACTCACATCTTAATGTATTTGGATTTAATTTTTTAGTCTCTCTTTTTATTCATTAATGTGTTTATTCTTATATCAGTACCAAATCTCTTAAATTACTTTTATTTTATCAAATATATATGTACATGTATGCCCCTATATACACATGACTCTAAAAAGTCTTAAAAGCTATTTTTGCATATTTTCCAGCTTAAATATTTTGCATATTCCAGCTTAAATAGAAACAATTACTATTCCCTAAATATATCATTTTTTTTTTAATGTGTTTGCTCAGTTCTTTGTGTTCATCTCAAGCATTCCCTCCTCTATGAAACCTTTTTTCCTATGGAACCATTTAATTGCTCCTTTCTTTGTGCTTCCACTGTGCTTTGGAACTTTTACCACCTTTTTTTTTTTTTTTTTTTTTTTTTTTTTTACCACTTTTACCGTGAAAATAATACATACTTTCAAAATCACTGCTTCAGGTCTCAATTTCTTGATAACCATCTTAGCTTGCAGGACAGTAAAAAGGACAAGAGAGCCCATAATGTTAGGCATCACTTGAAAGTGTCACTCATCACCTATGTTCACATTTCATTATTCAGAGCTACTTATGCAGCCATTTATAGATGCAAAAGAAGCTGAGAAGTAAAGTTTAGATAGATTATCACGTGCCCAGATAGGGCTTGGGAAATCTGTATTTAAGGAAGAAAGAAAGAATGGATGTTAGTAGGCAGTTAGCCTTCTTTTCCACAACAACTGGTTCATGCCAGTTCCTGACACATAGTAAGCATTTATAAATGTTTAGTTGAATGAGTAAATGTTGAATGACTTGAAAGGCTTTCATGGTCCCCGCTACACTGCTGTCCAGCCTTATTTTTCACTACTCTCTATCAACTTGTTCTAGCAGCCATAATCGTCTCACTGTCCTGGATCAGTTCTTTTTGTTTCATTTTGGTTTTACCTTCCTTCCCTTCCCTCCTCTCCCCTTCTTTTTGTTTGACAAAATATAATTGCAGCGTTACAGAAAAGTTGCAAGAGAAGTACAAATAAACTGTATCCCTTAACCCAGATTTATTTAGATTCCACCATTTGCCCCAGTATCATTCCTTTATAACAAGAAATTTGTTACACTTGTTATGCCTTTTTAATCTCTTTTAATCAAGAACAGTTCCTTAGCCTTTTTAGTTTCCATGACATTGGCATTGTTGAAGAACATAGGTCAGTTATTTTATAACATGTTTTTCCATTTGAGTTTGTCTTATATTTCCTCATGATTAGATTCAGGTTACATATTTTTGGCATGAAACACCACAGAAGAAATGCCATGATTTTTCATTGTGTGATATCAGGAGATATATGATGTCTCTTTGTCCTATTGTGGTTGATATCTGCAAGGGTATTTCACAAAACTCAGCAAAGTTACTATTTTCCCTTATAATTATTACCTTCTGGGGATATACTTCAGACCATGTAAATAAATATCCTTTTATTCCTCAAACTCTTACTAGTGTTGTTATTCCTTGATGATTCTTGACCGAATCAATTGCTGTGATGGTTGCTCAATAGTGATTTTTTTAAAATTCCATCATTCATTCTACATTTATTAGTTGAATTTTTGCTCTAAAGACAAGCATTCCCTTTTTATTTATTTAGCTCAAAGGAAGTCCCACTGGACAAATTTGTGATAGAGCATCAAACTAAATGAGAGTAAAACTATTGAATAAAAGAAGAATTCCTTAGCCTGCACTGATATAATTTATTTTTACAGTGTTTTTTCTAATAGATATATTTTTACCATTCAAACTTTTTAAAAATTATATATACTGAGAAGTCTAACTCCAATCCACAACCTTTGTCTTCTAGTGGTAAATTTTTGTTTGTTATTTAACTTTCTAGCGTTTCTTTCTCCAGTATAAACTTTCTCACATAAAACATAGCATGTTATATAGTAACAGCATAGTATTCTTTTGTGCCTTGGTTTTATCATTGAACAATGTATTCAGAAGACCCTTCTCTATCTATGGTAGACAGAATTCTAAAGATGTTCCCTCCAAGGTTCTTGTCACCTGGTTATTCATTCACACATAATCTGGGTACTGCTGCGAAGGGACTTCGCAAATAGAATTAAGATTGCTAATTAACTCACTTTAACATAACAGTTTATTTTGGATTATGCAGATGAGCCCAATGTAACCACATAGGCCCTTAAAAGC